CGCTCTACCACTTGAGCTACAGCGCCACTTCCGGTTTTCTGGTGGTTTATTGGAGATAGGAGTCTCACGGTCTCTCCTGCCCGGGCTGGCTTTGAACCTCGATCCTCAGATCTCAGCCTCCTGAGTAGCTAGGATTACAGGCGTGAGCCACCAGCGCCCAGCTAAGGTAGGCTGTCTTTATCCACCAGAAGGTGGGTTCTGTCTCAGCAGCTGCTGAAGGGGCTGGGGAGGACAGTAGAAATCAGAATCTAAAAGCTGAGTATCTCTGAGATACTCAGGCTGATCATAAAGAGACCTGGAAAAAATGGGATTAATTTCTGGACAAGAGTCATTAATCCTGCCTGGAAAGTGTAGCTTTGTGAAACAGAGATTGTACAATCTACAGTTGATCTCTTGAGTTGAAGTTAGTAGGCTATGGTTTTACTTGTTGGCTTTTTTCTGTGCGTCTTTCCCATTCTTTGCCTTGACAAATCTTTCCTCTGTCTCCTGGATAATGGTGACAAGAATGCATTCCCTATTTTCAATAAACGTTTTTGTGACACTGACGTCCTGAGGAGATGGGGGGTGTGGGGCGTGACCTGCATCGCTTGTAGGCCTAGAACGGCCATTTGTGTCATCCACGCTCCTTCTCCTCTTCTTCCCTTCGCCCCACCCTGCAAGCTATGCGCCAGGCCCTCTTCTTCAATTATCTATAAACTGTCCTTTTTCATCAAACCCCCAGTGAATCTGCACAGGAACTCTTCATGCCCTATGTTCTGGGAAGACAGGTGTTCTTAGAAACTTGGCTTGTCCATCAATTCACCCAGTTCATTGCACTGGCTGCACTTTCTACCTGCTCGCCAGCTGAGTTGACAGTCGGCCCGAAACATGGTTTCGGCTCCCTTAGTCCCGGCCTCCCTGTAATCACTGCCTCCCGTGTCCTTCCTTTAATCCCGGCCTCCCGTGTTCTTTCAGCTGGCTTGCAGGCCTTTTTCCAGGTCCAGGACTGCCACAAGCCCTCCACGGAGGACAAGCTGCAGGGGAAGGTTAGGCACTACTATATTGCTGCCGAGGAACTCGTCTGGAGCTACGCGCCCTCTGGAGTAGACACTTTTACCAAGGAGAACTTAACAGCCCCTGAAAGGTAACTTCTACCTCTTGACTCTTATGATGGATGCCGATGTGCAAATGCTGGCTCAATCCCACGCTTTCAATTACTCTGCATCTCTGCTCAGAAGCAGAGTGACTGGCTAGAAGGGCAAGGCTATGTTGAATTTCTGGAGGAACTATTGTACTCTTTTCTACAATGATTATACTATTTTACAGGTCTACCATCAACGTTCAACCACATCCTCACTGCCATAAAGTGGTATCTTTTGATGATTTTTTTTCAGTATTGGGGAATAAACTCGGGGCCTTGTGCTAAATTTTGACAGGCTAAATTTTACTTATTTCTCAAATAGGATCTTGTATTTATGCCAGGCCATCCTGGACTTTGATCTTTCTATTTATACTTCCTGTGTAGCTGGCACACACCATCGTGCCCAACTTCTCTACTGGATGAAGCAGAGACTTTTTCCCCTGGCTGACTTTGAACCACAGCCCCTCTGATCTCTGCTTCCTGTATAGATACCATTATGGGTGTGACCTCAGCACATTTTGATGTTTTGATTTTTTTTCTTTTCCGTTATTCCTGATGAGCATCTTTCTGTGGTCTTGTTTTTTTTTTTTTTTTTGAGAAATGTGTGTCCTTTGCCCACTTCTGAATGGCAGTATTTGTTCTTGTGGTTGTTGATTTGTAGGAGGTTCTTTATACAGTCTCAAGATGAATCCCTTACTGAACAATCACAAGTGCTTCCTCTCATTCTGTATGTTAACTTTCATACGCTTGTCAGTACACACGGATGCACACTAGGTGTGTGTGCATGCACGTGTATGTGCCTGCCCTCTATACCCTCAGGCCATTCGTTAGCTACCTTTCCTGCTGCACTTTCCACAAAGCAAAGTGATCTTTCTAGAATGCCAATGAGGTAGTGCGATTCTCTCCCACACACAGTTCCTCTGTCTGTCACCTGTCAAAAATCCTCTAGTTGGCAAGCTAAGAACGGAAAGGCTTTGTGCAAGCCAGATAGTGTGGTGAGGTTTAACTTTTTCATTTGTGAACAGGGGAGAAGGGGCCAGTTCTGCTGGGTTGCACTGAGTTGTAGCTAATCCTAGACAAGAACATTTCCCAGCTGGATGGAGAGTTCTGCTGTAGAGCCCCGTATTGCTGGGGGGCTGATGTGGAATCTTGGAATTCTTCACTCCACTTGAAAAGTGAAGCTCCTGTAGTCTCTACTTCCTCTCCACCTTCCCTCCACGAGTGGCCTAGAGCTGCTGGCGGCTGGCAGAGAATGAATGGAGGGTGACTGCTGTAGATCCTGAGGGATGAAGCTCACGACATGCTAGCCAGGGGTTCAGGGTGCACGCCTACTTCCCGTCACCCCAACACCAGCCTCAAACCCTTCTTCCTTTGGCAGTGATGCAGGCGTGTTCTTTGAGCAAGGTCCCACAAGAATTGGCGGCTCTTACAAAAAGCTAGTTTACCGTGAGTACTCGGACGCCTCCTTCGCGACTCGAAAGGTGAGAGGACCTGAAGAGGAGCACCTGGGCATCCTGGGTGAGTCCTGAGGAGCGCAGAGCTAGAACTCTCTCCCAAGCTCGGAGACGACAGTGACGCCAGGCCTGCGGCCTGGTTTCTACAAAGAAACCAGAGGTGTTAGGCCCCTGTTCGAACTCCCAGGGTTCCATCTGTTCCTGTATGCAGAAGAAAGAGATGGGCAGAGAAAGTCACGCACATACACATGTATGTTTTACTCTGGCCCAGGCAGCTGTGGGAGGAGATGTCAGCACACACGCCAGCAGCCTATCCTGACTGCCCACAGTGGCTGCAAAGTGACCGCAGAGGGACTGACCGGGAGCACAGGAATGCTGGATTCCCCGTGCTTTTAATCAGTTGGTGGCCCTGTGAGGAGCCGATGCGGTTCAGAAAACGCAGCTCAAGGCCTGCCACACAGGCAGATAGATCATCTGCCCTCAGCAAAAGGCTACAGTGGGCCACTCTCCAAATCAAGTTATCAGTGGCAAATCCTCAGCGGCAAAAGCCACACTGATTTCGTTTTTTTTTCCTTAAAGAAGGAAGGGGAATGGTATATTGGTTAGCTACCAGGGAAGGAGGAGGTGGCTCCTAATGGCACAGGCTGGATGCGCTAGTGGTGACTTCTTATCTGGATCCACTAGCCGTGACCACTGAAAGGCCGCTCACCTCCTGTGCCGCTGTAGTGAGGGCTAACGGCATTCTTCAGGCACAGACGGGGCTGTCACCGTGAGCACTGCACAAAGTACAACATCCATTCCCTAACTGGCAATGACTTTCATTTTAGTGATGGAAAGTCCCACCCACTGATAGCCTCGCTGCCAACAGGATGGAACCCACTGCTTTGGGTGGATGTGGTTTCCGCACCGGACTCTAGTGGCAAAGGTCACACCCTCTGCCAAGACAAGGCTGGGGTGGAGGGAGCACTCCAGGCAGTATGGGCAAGGGTTTAAAGTGGTTTAGTAACTGACTTTGTCAAAAAAAAGAGAGATGACCAATTAACTTGAAGTTGGGTCAGAGGTGCTCCACTCTTCCCAATCTTGCTGTGTCCCATAGCTAATGGACTTTAAAAAACAAAAAAACAAAACAAAAGCTTTCCGATTTGGCACCAATGACTCCCAGTGGCGCGTGCCAGAGGACCAGCCCAAGAAAACCACAGCCTTCCACACGCGCTCCACCGGAGCAAAGGTGACGACTCTCCCTTTGTCCCCAGGTCCCCTCATCTGGGCTGAGGTAGGTGACACCATCAAAGTCACCTTCCGTAACAAGAGTCCACACCCCCTCAGCATTGAGCCAACGGGGGTGAGATTCAGCAAGGACAACGAGGGCACGTACTACACCCCCCACAGCACCCTCTGGAAGGGAGGTGAGTGCAGACCTCCAGACCCACCCATGGGTACCAATATGGAGCCCCCCTTGACCCTGCTGCTGGCTGCATGCAGCACCCTGCACCTCAGCCTCTGCGGTCCTCACGAATCGGAATTCTGTCTTGCTTTAACCGATAATTATCCACAACACAGGTAGCAACTTAGTTGGATGGTGTCCATTACATTTCTGAAACACTAGTTGGGTGAGGAGATTTGCAAAGAGTTCTCGTAACAACATTAGATGCCCACATCAGAATATTTAAATAAAAACATTTATGGATGTGTGTAGATCTACACATACACACATATACATAAGGGTACAGCCAAAGATACCAATGATCCAACCATGATTGTATCTTTATAATTCTTCCACTTGCATCTCTGTGTATATGTTTTAAATATATTTGAGATCTAGTAAGTGGCTAGTCTGTTCTCTTAGCACTGGGAACACTTGTAATGTTAAGGATACAAAGGATTCCTCCGTGTACAGATGGAGCTAAGCATTTCTATTTGTTAAGGGTGACCAATGAAGATCAGCGGTTCAGCCACCAATCACAGGTGGTTCAACCTTTCTGGTCGCACTTTCTTGTGTAAACTTGGGAAATTTGACGGGGATCATAGGCAAGTCCCTTTCAGTCTTACGATTATTTTCTGTTTGGTTTTGGGTCAAGACAAAAATGCCTTGATTACCCCTACTGCCTGGCATTGGCTTAGTTGGTAGAAAGGACAAAGCTCTACCTTTAAGAAGGTAGAGTTGCTGGGGACAGAGGTACGGACTATACAACTGGGAAGATGGTAGGGGGTTCCTGGGAGATGTGGGGGTACAAACCAAGTCCAGGAAGAGGTTACAGGAAGCTGCCCCACACCCAGCCTTCCTCTGACACAGGAGTATGGCACAAGTCCATCCCTGGGGGAACTAAGGCATTCGCAAGTGGGTTGTCCTGTACTTCGTCACTCACATGACCATGCTCACACCCTCCCATGTGACCTTCCTCTCAGGTGGGTCCCCTCACCCTGCCTCTCATGTGGCACCCCAAGAAACCTTTACCTATGAGTGGACCGTGCCTGAAGACGTAGGACCCACTCATGCAGATCCCGTGTGCCTGGCAAAGATGTATTACTCCGCCGTAGATCCCACCAGAGATATATTCACCGGGCTGATTGGGCCAATGAAAATATGCAAGAAAGGAAGCTTACTTGAAAATGGGAGACAGGCAAGTCCAATGAGGAGATCTCCTTTTGTCAGTTCTAACGTTCCTTCCATGTGAATATCTTTTCAAGATTAAATCTCTTCCTCTGGGTTCTGGCACTTTCTTCAGATCACGCTTACGGTGGATTCCATTCTCTCCCAGAGCTGACCTCAGATGGATGCCTCCATGGGACCATTCACATTGATAGCCATCTTTTATCTGAATAAATGATCTGAAGGGGAAGACAAGATATGTGTGTTCACACACACACACACACACACACACACACACAATGTGGTACTGGGGCTTGAACTCAGGGCCTAGAAACTCTCAGCTTTTCCTCTCACGGCTGGTGCTCTACCACTTAAGCCACATCTCTACTTTTCACTAGTTAATTGGAGTTAAGCGTCTCATTGACTTTCTTCCAGCCAGGGCTGGCTTCAAACTTCAATCCTCAGATCTCAGCCTCCTGAGTAGCTAGGATCCTCAGGTTAAGCCACCAGCGCCCAGCTTGCAAATGCCTTCTCTCCTTGGCAGTTCATTGGCTTAGAGTCCTGACTGAACGGGCTTTCTGACTGGCTCATTCCACAGAACAGATGGCCTTTCAGCTCACTCCCTTCACAGCTGGGACAGCAAGAGGGAGCAGGGATACTTGTCCAGGTATCTGGACAACGTGTGAATCCCTGATCTAATTCATTCAAGTTCATCGCCAGCTATTTCTTCACCTCAATCTGTCCTTGTTTTATCTGGCAAGAGCTCTCAAGAGTTTTCTGGGACGTGGGTGGCATCTTTCCTGACCACTTGGGTGGTCAAATGGAATGTTCCATAAGCCTTGTTGACAAAGCAAAGGGGGCAACTTCTTTCCTCCTTCCTCTAGCTTGTTTGAACATGTGGAGAATTCTACACAAGGAAGCCTCTGAATTTTCCTCTCTTCACCTCTTTGTTGTTCTCTCAATTTACAGAAAGATGTTGACAAGGAGTTCTACTTGTTTCCCACTGTATTTGATGAGAATGAGAGTTTACTCTTGGATGACAACATTAAGATGTTTACAACCACACCTGATCTGGTGAATAAGGAAGACGAAGACTTTCAGGAATCCAACAAGATGCACTGTGAGTACCAGTTTTATTGTTGGTTTATTCTCAGTAGCTGATATGTCAATCACTCCAATGTGTCAATCACTTCCCATTCAGAGTAGATGCTGTGCAAGCTGTGCCCTTGCACAAACGGTACAAGTGTGGTCTCTGGACCAGCAGGGTGGGCACTGACTGGTAGGTCCTGAGAAATATTCATTCTGGACCCCGCCCCACCCGCTGAATCAGAAGCTGCGTGGCCGGGTCCCACACACCTGTTGTTAAGGCTGCGGCACAGGAGAATGCCAGACTGGAGGCTTTGCTCCCTGTGGCTCGGAGACAGCAGGCTCGTTTCACTGTTCGAAGCACAGAAAGCTGTAGTTCTCATGCTTGGCCACACTTCTCAATCACCTGGGAGGTTTCAAAAACTACAAAGCTTGGCGCAGCCCCAGCTCTTTAGTTCAAGCCATGCATTGGATTTGTTTTTCCACCCAGGGTCATTCTAGAATGCAGTCAGGGACCAGAGACCAAAGTCACGGACCACTAACGGATAGGAGTACAATTTACTGTAGGTAGTAGAAAATGTAAGCTGGGCACTGGTGACTCATGTCTGTAATCTCAGCTACTTGCAAGGCTAAGAGCAGGAGATGACGGTTCAAGACCAGCCTAGGTAGTTACAACCTGTAAAATTAACCAGCAAAAACAGGGCTAGAGGCATGAGCATCAGCCTACAAGTGTGAGGCCCTGAGTTGAAACTTCAGTCCTGTCACAGGGAAAAAAAATGTTAGAAACTAATGTTGCTTTGTGGGTTTAAGTTAGGCTTGGTTCTGACCCTATCACCTACCATTTCTAAAATACTTCTTTTGCTTCTTCATTTTTGTATTCTGAATGCATCAAAAATATTACCTGCTAGAAATAGCAGTGAGAGAAAATTTCCTGCACAAACTCTTCTGCTACTCCAGACAATTCAGAATCCCCAATCTAGAGCAGCCCCGGCTTCCCCAGTGCAGGCTCTGCAGGGCGGGAGGGCTGCCCAGAGCCCAGAGGAGCCACCAATGGGGATGGGGACGCATCAGCTGGCATCTGTCCCCGGGGGAAGAGACGCCCCAGGGGAGCAGAACACAGCACAGAAATCCAAGAACCATGTGGTCAGCTGCAGTTCCCGATGGTCAACAGTGTTCTGGATGGCATGTGTGGGCATGGTCACTGCTGTGGGCACACGGCGCGTGGCAGGCTTACGTGTCTTTAGAAGCAGTGACTCAGGTTGATGCCGGGAAGGGGTTTGTCGTGCGAAAAGGACACGGAATAGAGCAGTCTGAAAACATCTGTTCCAGCCACGAATGGATTCATGTACGGGAACCAGCCTGGTCTGAACATGTGCCAGGGAGATTCGGTGGTGTGGTACTTGTTCAGTGCCGGGAGCGAGGTCGATGTCCACGGCATTTACTTCTCAGGACACACCTTCCTGTCAAAGGGGGAACGGCGCGACGCCGCGAACCTCTTCCCTCACGCCAGCCTCACGCTGCTCATGCAGCCTGACACCACAGGTTCGTTCCTCTGCCCCTCAACGTGAGCAGTGTGGGCCCAGGGCAGAGCCAGCTGGGCGTTTGATAAGCTGTTCCTTTCTGTGGGTGGGGAACGGGCCTCTGCAATGGAAGTACATAAATCTGGGTCCACTTCCTAACTGCAAGCGCAAAGGTCCTGAGTCAGGGACGCAGAGGCTGGGTGACCAGACCTGCTCTCAGGACAGCAAAGGCAGGGCTGGTGTGCGGCATGCAGGAGGCAGGTGACCAGCGGGTGCATGATAAGGCTCTGGTTCTGACTCTGATCAGGGGCTCTCATGTCTGTTCCGCGCCCCCCCCCACCCCCCGCAGGGACCTTTGATGTCCTGTGCCTCACGACGGATCACTACACAGGAGGCATGAAGCAGAAGTACACGGTGAACCAGTGCAAGCGGCAGTCTGAGGGCTCCCCGGTGTACCAGGGCAAGAGGACCTACCATGTCGCGGCCGTGGAGGTCGAGTGGGATTACTCCCCGCACAGGGAGTGGGAGAAGGAGCTGCACCGCTTACAAGAGCAAAAGTAACTCCCGCACCCAGCAGCGCTTCGTGTCCTCCTGCGCCCAGCCAGTCACGGCCCAGGACCTCTACTCCTCCTGACCACCTCACCCACGCTCCTCCTCTGCTCTGGGTCGTGATCCCTTCCTTTGGGGGAACCCTCCTGCCACTGGTTACAAACCGGGCAAGATTCTGCCAAAGTTATGGCTGAAATACTGCTTTCCGCACCAGCTACTGGCTGGCGATTTTTCCTCTGTAAACTTCATCCTTTTTGTCTAATTGTCATTTCCCATGCCAAAGGCTAGTGTGCATATTTTGTGACATTATTTTAAAGCCTTGATGGCACTATAGCAGTTCTTTCCTCTAAGAGACTATAGCACCAAAGACCTTTCGTAGTGGCGCACTGCAGAAAGCTCTTTTGAAAGTAGCTTGTGTGTGATTCAGTGCAGGAAAGGGGGCCCAGGCACTGGGAGGACATCCAGGGGGTAGAGCAGCGGCAGCCAGTGCCCGGCTGGTGGTCTGACTGTGGGGCTGAGCATGGTTTGAGCTGTAAAGGAAGAAGAGGTTATTATAATGACTGGGGTTTGAGAATGGAAGAGGGAGTGGAAAGTGTCACCTCAGTTCCTACTGGTCAGAAGCTCCGCTGTGACCAGAGGGCTCTGGAGCGCTACCGTTTTAAGCCCTAAGGACACGGTCGAGAGGTCCTGTCCAACAGCTCATCTGAGGGGGAGAGGAACCCGGCTCCAGTGGGTGCTGGTAGCTCACGCCTGCCACTCTAGCTACTGGAGAGGCCAAGGATGGTAGGACTTGGGTTGAGGCCAGCCTGGGCAGAGGAGTTCCCAAGACGCCTTCTTAACCCACGGTGTGGCCCAGTGCCAGGCTCTCAGCATCCCAGTTACAGCAAGACCCAGTGCGAGTGAGGACAGAGAGCGAGCTCCTATCTCAAAAATCACCAGGGCAAAAAAGGGCTAGAGGGGTGCCTGACTCAAACCACAGGGGCACTAAAATAATCAACAGTAGCCCTGAAGCTCCAACAGGAGGTGGTGAGCTGGACGTCAGGGCCAGGACCCAGGACTCCCCTGGGTCAGCTAAGTGGGCTTTTTGCTACACCAGTGCCTTTTTAAAACTCATTAAAGGGCTGGGAAGGTGGCTCCGTGGTAGAGCGCTTGCCTTGCATGCCCAAGGCCCTGGGTTCGATTCCTTAGCACCACATAAGAAAAAAAAAACTCATTAAAAAATGGAATGGGAAATGATTAAAAACTACCATAATCGCTTCAAACAAAACCGTAACTATTTAAAAAAAATTTGTAACTTGAAACTGAAGTCTTTTGTGTCATCACAAAGCTAACCTGAATTGTTTCTCTTTTTCAAGTGTCTCAAATGTATTTTTAGATAAGGAAGAGTTTTACATAGGCTCAAAGTACAAGAAAGTTGTCTATCGGCAATATACCGACAGCTCATTCAAAGTTCCGGTGGAGAGGAAAGCAGAGGAGGAGCACCTGGGGATTCTGGGTAGGTGGCGTCCTTCCCTCCATGAGGGACAGTTTTCCACACTGATACATTTCACTTTCTTGTCTTTATTACTCATGAAAATACAAAAAAAACCCCAAAACCCAGTGACTTGATTAAAAACAAGAAGCCTATCTACTAAAGAATATAGATAATAAAACACCACTTGTTTCTGTTAGAGAGAATGCATTATTTCATAAACTGAAGAAAGTATTTGTATTTGGTGTTCATCCAACTGAGGTTTTAGTGAGGAACCTATTATCCCATCTATCAAAATGAAAACAAGGACGAAACAAAAAGCACACAGACATTTACTGCCGAAGTGAGACTGTGTGACCCCGACACCGCCCAGCACATGGGTGAGGACGTGGGACCACACACGAGCCTAGAGCACGCCCCCTTCAGGCTTCCAGGAGCCACTCCAAGATGCAACATGAACTTGACCAAAGCCGGCCTTGGGAATTTTCCTGGAACCAAGGTCCTGGGGATACTACTCCTGAGCCTCTATGACTCTGGTTGCCAGAGTTCCCCGGAGTCTGGGTTATCCTCAGCCCTTTCAGTGAGGCACTCCGGGGAAGGTAACAGAAATTTATCAGACAGCAGGCCAACTAAGACTGGCTAGCAGGTGGACCCCGTAGGGCTGGCCCTCATACAGTCCTGCAAATCCAAACCCAGGAACAAGAGCAGACCAGGGCCCGGTGGGGAGCCTGGCCCAAACTCCCTAGAGTGTGGACAAGAAATACTCCATGGTCCACCTTCACAGACAGCCACATCTGGAGTTTGATCTCACGCCCTTTCCTTCTGGGCCCTAGGATAAACCCAGGACTCTATCAGTCAGCAAAGAACCACAGCGATAGCAACAAGATGACGCCAGCCGTCTAGCTCTCAAAGCTGCCTCATCTTTGTTTTCATTAGCGCGTTAGATGTTTCAATCTGACAGGTCAACAAGTCCCTTTCTTTCTTATCAGGTCCACAACTTCATGCAAATATTGGAGACACAGTGAAAATTATCTTTAAAAACATGGCGACGAGGCCCTACTCCATACATGCCCATGGGGTGAAGACACAGAGGTCGACTGTGGTGCCAACACAACCAGGTGCTCCCAGTGGGGCGGTGGCGGCGGCGGGGGCAGCTCTCAGCGTTTCTAGTCACTTACCACTGGGTGCTGGTGGAGTCCTACAATGTAGGGGATGAAGCAACTGTCCAAGGACAGGGGTGGGAGGGACTGCATGGGGGGGTGACAGGATGGGACACACTGGAGGGCTCAAAGAGAGGAGGTGGGAGGAGGGAAGAGGGAGGGAAGGTAGTGGAGAGGCTGACATAACCAGGGAGAAGCCATGGGAATTTGAAAGACAATGTATACTAATAAAAATATACTTAGAATTAAGGTAAGTCTGGTTTGGGAAGTTTTCTTCCCATTGTGATGTTATAATGGCCACTTCCTGGCTTGGTAGAAGTGTATGGCAGCCAGCTGTCTTAGCACAACACATACCACACACAACAAAGAAATCAAGGGAAGAACTCTCGGTATTATTAGTGTCAAAAACGGATTACCCTGACACTTCTAGTTTCTGGGTCGCCAAGGCCCCAGTTCTCTCAGATGACAGAGCTCAAAGGTCACTGATCCAGATAAAAGCAGATAATTACCCCTCCATGGATTTAGGGGAAGTTCAAACGTATGTGTGGGAAGTCCCAGAGAGAGCTGGCGGTGGACCGGAGGACGCGGCCTGCATACCATGGGCTTACTATTCCACTGTGGACCGAGTTAAGGTAACTTCAAGCCACTTGTTCTGTGACAATTTCCAAGGCAGATGAGGCTAGTTTTCCTGTCAAAATTCCAAGACAACCTTATTAGCTACTCAGTTTTACTTCTTTGGTCTGTTGCTTTTAAAGATATAGTTACGCCTACTGATAACATTTTTTCCATTTTTAGATGAACACACATTAAACTCAAAGAATGAGGTATATGGCTTCAGAACTGAAGGCATCGCGTGATAAACTATCTCAAAGCCCCAACCCCTCAACCACACCCACAAGATCCAAAGGCTTGCCCAGATTGTTCCACGGGAACATCTCATCCAAATCTCTCTCCTGAGCACCCATCCTCCAAACTCCTATAGGAGCAGTCTCCACAGGCAGCTCGGCAGCTCCAACACAGACTCCCTTGTATTTCCTGTTGTGTCTACTCACTCACTTAAGCAGGAGCTCTGACCTACCAAGCATCTAGCCCACCCTCTCAGCACCCCCCCCCCTTCCTTCTCTCCATCCCCGTAGCTTTGAGTTCTTGTAGTCTGCCTCACTGTGGCCAGGGCCCCTCTTCTCAGCTCTTCACCTCCAGGCAAATCTGCTGCCATCCTTTCTCCCAATTTTAATGGGAAAAATCTGAAATCCCCTCGTGTGGTACAAAACCTAACGTGCCGCTACTGACCCACATCTACTCCAGCTTCCCGAGCCTTTCTCCTTTGGGCTCATTAGCATTTTGTGTGCTTCCAGTATAGCTGACAGCTTCCCTTATCTTTTTCATTCCTTATTGTCTGTTATTGTCCCACTGGACTGAGCTCATAGATGGCAAGACCTTTGCGCCCCTTACCTTTGTTGTTTAGGAATTGAGTTTATGTCCCACTCATGTTCAAGTCCCTGAGCTTTCGGAATAAACACATCAACACTGTGTATTTGGGTGGGGCATTAGCAAAGTCAGTTCTAGGTCTCTAAATGTCTCTTTCTTTTGCATCACCCATACAACCTACCTCCTGTTCACTATGGGATCAATTTAACGACTTCAAGTACGAAGTTATTCCCCTGGCAAGTCTAGTCCTTAAATCAGCTCTTTGGGGTCCAGTTGTCTGAAGTCCCCACCTCCATGGCAAGGATGGCTGGGACTTCAGAGTCTAGTCCTCTGAAGTCCTGGCCTCCACAGTAAGGAGAGTGGATGGCTGTGTTGCTTTTCAGGATCTCTACAGTGGATTAATTGGCCCACTGATCGTATGTCGGAAACATGGCACGAAAGTCTTCGATCCCACGAGGAAACTGGAGTTCTCGCTTCTGTTTTTGGTGTTTGATGAGAACGAATCGTGGTACTTAGATGACAACATCCAAACATACTCTGATCACCCCGAGAAAGTAAACAAAAATGATGATGGATTCATAGAAAGCAATAAAATGCATGGTAAGAGAAATTGTCCTAAACCAGTCTTCTCCTTTACCAACCCCTTTTCTTGAAAAGGGAATTAGGTTGGGGGCTACTCCTTTGTTTTCATTTAAAAACTACTCACTCAGAGCAGCAGGATTCTGTTCAGAACAAAAGAAAGAGGGGGGGGTATGTTTAAAATCATTTACCAATTCTTTCCCAGTTCCAAAATCTCACTTTTAGAGTAAATCCAGTCAGGGTTAATGCTTTTGAGAAGCATTTATATAAAGTTCTTTGACAGCAAAAAGATTCTTCATATGTAACCTAAAAGTCCTATTTTGTGTGAAACAATCACTGGTTTAAGCTGTCCTGAAAGGTGTTGTGTGCCTTCCCTCAGGCATCAACGGGAGAATGTTTGGGAACCTGCATGGCCTCACCATGCACGTGGGAGACGCGGTCAGCTGGTACCTCTTGGGGCTGGGCAATGAGGTAGATTTGCACACGGTGCATTTCCACGGCCACAGCTTCCGATACAAGGTAAGGGCCTCCACCGCAGTCTGTCTTGCTCTACTGGAACATGTTTTAATGTATAGGAGATATGTTCCTTGGAGAAACTAACAGAAACAGAATTTTGTGGTAGAGGGCACAATGATTCCAACGGGCCTGTCAGTTTCCCATCTACACTGGGCTCTGCCCTGGACTTGCAGATCACCTTGGGTTCATGCGGCGCTTGGCTCCCTCGCTTCTGAGTAAGGACTGTGGAGGGAATTGCTAATTGTCCAGCGATGATGGGTGGCAGGCCAGAGATCAGCACAAGACTGCCATTACCCTGGTCAGGCAGTCAAATGTTATCAGTGCTGTCCCCCGACGGCAATCTTTCCAGAGCTCTCTCAGATGCTTCAAACCCTTGGCCCTTTTGGTGATGTTTTCCTTTTTCTGAGTTAGTGTACAAAATGCACAAGACACAAAGAAAGCACTGTCCACAACATCCACTGTGCAACAAGCCTACTGCATTTTGTTTCACAAAAACATACCCTCTCCTGGGCAGAGTTTCAGATCCTCCATTTCTGTGTGCAGAAATGAGGGCAGATCCCGTGCCCCACAGAGACATCCTGGCTGACACTGGCTTCTCTGGGGCCTCCTTTATTGCTCTGCACCCTTTATTGCTCCCCTTGCCCTCCAGTTGCAGAGACAAGAGACTAGACGAAGGTGAGGCTGGGTGGACATGAGCCCCCACCTTAGTTTCCCCACGTAGCTGCAGTCTCGTATGGAGGGAGCCAGAACCCCGTTGAGAAGACCCGTCTGACGAGTTCCCCTGACAGCCCGTGATGACTCACAGTGTGGAGGGAAGACTAGGTCACTGTGTTCACACAGAAGGGGCAGGGCTCAAAAAACAAAACAGATGTATTCATTTTTCTAGTCTTGACTACTGAACCAACATTCCCATAAGTTGTCATTCTGTACTCAAGCACAGGGGCATTTACAGTTCTGATGTCTTCGATGTCTTCCCTGGGACGTATCAGACCCTAGAAATGGTTCCCCAGACACCCGGGACCTGGCTTCTCCACTGTCATGTGACCGATCATATCCACGCTGGGATGGGAACGACCTACACCGTCCTGCCAAGTGAAGGTGAGAATCAGGAGGCAAGCCCGTGAGTAATGCGTCACCAATGTTAAGTGCCTCCCTGATCTGAAGCATTTGTGAACTCTGCCGCCCTAACTTCCGCGCCTCATCACTGCTCATTTCTGAGGGTCTGCCCCCTTCAGTGCAGGGGTGTGTGTAAAGGTTTAAATGGACACAGCAACGTAAAGGTACCTAACGCTGGAGCATGGGCTAAGTCACATGACACAGCAGTGTTCACTATACCTAAAGCGGGAGAAAGGGAGAAGTCACATCAGACAAACCATGACTTACAGAATTCCCTTCTTAACATAAAACACTGACTTTTTCTAGATGGGAGCACATATAAAACACAAGTCCAAAACAACCCCACATAAGCCATATAAATTCAAGTCAATCAAGAAAAGCAAAGTCTTCCTGGGCTTGCAAGAAGAGTAAGCACAACTGTGAATCACCCAGAGAAAACTAAAATGCAAACATCCTAGTCCCTGACTTCTGCACAATGCCTCCACAGGTCCAGGTACATATACGTACCTGTACACACACACACACACACACACACAAGCGTGCGCACCTGTACACACACGTGCACGCATGCACCTGTACACACATGTGCACACACGCGCCTGTGTACACACACATACACATGCACGCACACACACACACACAAATGCAGGAAAATGAACAGCCTTTCTATGGCTACAGCGTGAAAGAGCTGCCCCATGGCTGCAGGCTTCATTCTTTCCTGGACTTTCCAGTCAGAACTGTTGAAACTAGAAACTGGCAGACTGAACACAAGGAAAGTATGCAGAGAATGTTTCTCTGTGCTTCCTTCTTCAAATGAGGATAAAAAGGAGCAAAGAAGCAGAAGGAAATACAGAAGCAAGTTACGTGTCTGTTCTTATGTGAGCTGCCCATGCTAGGTCATGCTACCACTGAGGTATATAGCTTCAGCCCAAGAATCAAATTTCAAGACTCAAAAACCACTTGAGTAATCATTAGTGCGAATGAGGTTTCAGGTTCTTCTTCTGAGTCGGACACCAGTACCTTCTTTCTGGATGGGCTACTTTCACCAAAGCCCTCTCTACAGTAAGTAGTTACTACACACACAAGAATGTCAAAGCCTTGGGCTGGGAAGGTGGCTCAGTGGTAGAGCGCTTGCCTTGCATGCCTGAGGCCCTGGGTTCGATTCCTCAGCACCACATAAGCAAAATGACAAAAGTCGTAAGTGGTGCTGTGGCTCAAGTGGTAGAGCGCTAGCCTTGAGCTGAAGAGCTGAGGGACAGCGCGTAGGCCCAGAGTTCAGGCCCCACGACTGGACCCCCCCCCCAAAAAAAAGAATGTCAAAGCCTCAAAGTCGTTGGCATCAACAACTTCACAGTCAGAGGTTGAGCAAGACAACTGGAACAGTGTTCAAAGAACCTCACTTTGCATGTTAACCACACAGAAGGATGAACCTGCTCAGAAAAAAGACAGAGCGAGGGGCACGAGGCCTTCAAGGGATTCATGTGTGCAGATGCCAGCGAGCAGACGGAGCTGCTACAGTCCAGTCCTGCCAGCAAACACTGCGGCCTCCCATATGGAACAGGGAGACAAACAGCTAACAGAATGGAGAGTGTTTTTTAAACTGTAGAGCAAATGGCTAGTGTAAAGAAAATACACATTAGGGAAAAACTTTTTTTTCAAAGAGAAAAAATATTGCATAGGACTAAAAGCAGGGATGAATGACAGATAGTGTGAACTATAGGCAGCAAATGGGGGGCCATGTTTGTCATTCTGAATTATCGTTAAGTCAAAGTTCCATGAAAGTTTGGGGAAATCACATTAATTATGAATCTCAAATGTCTGCCTACTATGTCACAGAAAAGCGAATACATGAGGATAGAGTAAGATCTTTTCATATTCTGCACCATGACACAACTGTCTGAAGAAGGAAGAAAGGGAGGGAGGGAGGGAGGAGGGAGGAAGGGAGGGAGGAAGGGAAGGAAGGAGGGAAGGAAGGAAGGTCATCAGCCAGTTGTGGCTATCCTGCCATGTTTAGTCCAATGCTCTGACAAGTGTAAAAGGAACTATTTTAGACTATGACTTTTCTGTGGCAGTCAGATAACCTATTAGATGTCTTCTGCAGGGAAAGGGTTGGCCTACCTTTAAAAGTCTCATTGGCAGGGACTGATATGTTTATATTCCTAGCTAAGTACCCACATTTAATACACACTCAAGAACAGAGGAAATCAATGAAATAGAATTGTATACATTGCCTTTGGACATGATCTCAGACTTAAAGAGAAAGCTGCAAGAGTGCTTAGCAAGTGATGCTCACACAGCTATCTTCCCTTCTTCCAGCTCTCCTTCAAAGTGCACAGCAGCCTGTCTCTGTGTAAACATATACACCTGCACTTCCTAAAAGCAAAAACATCATGTGTACAAGTACAATGCCATTGTCAAGATCAGCAGAGCTGTAACAAGGATGAAAAGACCTTTCTCAAATTTTACCCCTCACCTTACTTGCATTTTTGATACAAGAAGAAAATCCAAGGACATGTGCTGTATGATAAGATGTGTCTGAAGTCTCCCTCCCCCACAAGGGTCCCTCCTGCTTTGTGACCTTCACACTCTAAGTACCGTCAGCAACTGCACGGGACGTCCTACATGCTGGGTCTGCCCTCATCATGGGGTCCGGGTTTAGTGTTTTGGCAAGACTATCAAGAAGAGATGTCTTTCTCCCCACCACACTGGTTTGCTGCGTGGCTGGGAAGCTTGGAGATGGCCTCTGCCAGCCTTCTCCCTCCGGATTAGTGCTTCAATGAGAATCTCATAGGAAGGAACTCATTTTCCAATTAAGGCCTTACTACAACAAGGGAACTTTTTTATTTATTTTTGGTTGTGGGCTTGAATTCGGGGCCTGGGAGCTGGCCTGAGCTCTTTTGCTCAAGGCTAGTGTGCTACCACTGAGCCACAGCCCCACTTCTGGTTTTTAAGTGGAAATAAGAGTCTCACAGAGACTTTTCTGCCCAGGGTGGCTTTGAACTAAGATCCTCAGAGCTTAGATTCCTGAGAAGCTAAGATTATAGACATGAGCCACTAGCACCCAGGAGAACAAGAGATTAAAATTAACATTTTAAAAGTGAAAAGCACCATCTAATTTTTTTTTTTTACTATATGAACTACACTATTTTAAGTAGCCATCTTAAAATTTCTTTCTTTATGTAGTACAAGTCTGGCTGAAAGACATAAAGTGACCATTGGAAAACTGAGATAGGACATTGGTTCCTAACAGTATATGTGACACTGCTGAATGGGACTGGCTATACACATTTCTAGAAAGACTGAAACCATACAACCTTGCATTTGTGTGTGTGGGGGTGTCCTTGTCACAGATGAAAAGATGACAAGCTGTCCTATGACACGCAGCTGACACCTGTGGAAACCTGAGGGTCACTGCCACCACCACCACATTCCGAGGACTTTCCAAAACCACATTCAAAACAATTCTGACCAGATGTGTCCCTGGGCTGTCCATTAAGGCTCACAGACATGTCTGCAACCATTGTCCCCCATACAGTCCTCTAATGTGCTACTGACCTCATTTCTAGTGAATCCAAGTGCAGAGGGTAGAAAGGAAAGTCAAACAAGAGAGAAGCCACTCTGAGTTTTGCTGAAACCTACAGGATGCTCAAAAGATGTGACCTGGATCTGGGGAAGGGCATCTGACAATGTTTATAGCAAGACCTGGCAAAAATTAAATGAATAATAAACTAAGAAAAGGCCAATGGGGAAGGCTTCAGAACATACTGTCCCAGACACAGAGAAAGTGGAAGTTTTGCCCAGCCTTAGCTGAAGTCAATGCATAGTATCAATGATCTGAACTTAGGACTCAACATTTTTAACAAGCGCTTCTATAAAAAGACTGATATCATGATATAGTTCTTTATTTTCACATATACTCTGGCTGAAAAAAATAAACAGCATTTGTTAATATTAATAACAAACAGAAACAGGTTTTGCTGAAAACACACATACACACATTCAACACATATCAGACAAAAACTCAGCTTTGTAAACTTGACCTTCATTTGGCTCAGAGCACAAAAATAACCTAAGTTAAAAAAGTAACAAGAAAATAAAAGTTCAGACTCTTTTACTGTGGCAAAATATTTACATCTTTCTCAAAGAAAATTACAAACAACAACAACAAAAGGAGAGAAATCTCGGAATTGGAGCAAATAAAATTCTGGGCCACTTAAGAGTGACACACATTTCCTTCAAGCATCCTCGGGGTGGAAAGACTGTCATGTCTTCACAGCCCTGAATTGAGGCTGTCCTGAGCAAAGTCACCACCCCCCTTTAAAAATGTATGGCTTCTTTGAAGAATTCTTATCTTGAAGCTTTTACTTTCTGGACCATTAAATAGAGCCAGACATACATTAAGGAACTAACAGTCACCACTCCATGGTAAAGTTTGTGTCCGGAAAATGTCTGAGGCTTGTACATGCTGACATGATACAAACCCCCCTGGCACCCAGTGATTTTTAAATGCTACCTTCAAGTCAGTGGCTTCTTTCGACTGCAGTACAGCAGGTATGGCAAGAAAAATGCTGCTGCGCCATCTTCTGGGAGAACAGTCAAAAATTCCCTCAGCTCCAACTCCACAGCAACGACAGACAAGGCCTCTGGTGGGGAAGATACCTGGGTCAGAACTTGGTTCTCCCATCCAGTATTCTCCAAATCACTCAACTGATCAGATCACACAAAAAAGAGTTATTATAAAAACAAAGAACAGGCTCCTCCATCCAGACTGATTTTAACAACTTCCTCATTAAGCCTTTCCAGAGTCATTTGAAGTTTATTTTACATGCAATTTGGAGTTATTACTTCACTGTTGGATGACTCCATTGTTTTTAATAGATTTCTAGCATTCTCTAAAGAAAAATACAATCATTTGAATGCTGTTTTGTTGTTAGGACTATATACAGCTAATACATAAGGACAGTTTACTATGACAGTAAATGTTGTTAACTTTCAGACACTGTTTTCCTAAATCAGATCCTCTCTATAATGAGAGTTTCACATCAGTAAGTACCAATTTCTTTTTATTACCATTTAGCTTTTCTTCTAAACAACAAAGACAGGTGTTCTAGTGACAGCTATCAATCAGGCTGAGGTAAAGAGACCTTGCCTGCCCAAGAACCACCCTGAGTTTAGTTGCAGTACCAAAACAAAACCGAAAACAGATGAGAGAAGGAATTTGTCATATTTTAATCATTTTCATGATTGGTTACTTAACAGATGCACATGCCCTCTCCTATGCACAATGTTTCAGCATCCACTGGGCCTTGTAACTCCATCCACATTCTGGCACCCTGCCCTGTGACCCTCTTACACCTTTTATCTCCTAGAAGAACTCATCAGTCTTCAATCGTGTTTAATGAACTTACCTCCCCACCTGAAACAGATTAAGCACCAAGACCATCAACAAGAGCTGTAACTGTCCTAGTGTCAGTATTTCGTATCTTCAAGTATTTTGAAATATTAATGAATTTCTATGATGTGATAACTTAAATTCGTGAAAGTATTAATTTATAAGAACAATAGCACTGAAAGTGGAAGAGGTAAATAAGTATCATAAGTGTTGGTCAGAGGCCATATAAAACTGAAAATAAGCTTTCCAGATGATTCTACAAGTCCTCTCTCTTCTCACTTCTCTCTCTCCTTCTCTCTTCTCACTACATGGCAGGAAGTGAGGTCAAGGCCTCAACAAATTCACAGTTAGAATTTATCTTTAATCTCTAAAGGGAATTTTACCTTTTAATGATGCCAGATGAAGCTGGAACTTCTCTCCACCACACTTCACTCTCTGAAAAAGTTCAGGAAGCAATTTTTTCCACCACAGAGTCTATCTTAGGAAAAAGTAAGAAAAATTTTAGTTTGGTGCACTTTGCCCTCAGTGGCAATACTCAAGAAGACTGTGCTGGGCCGTACAAGGCAGAAACACATCATCGGATGAAGGACTTGACTTTGAGCAAGGGCACCGGTGGTTCACGCCTATATCCTAGCCACCCAGGAGGCTGAGACCCAGAACAGTTTGAAGTCAGCAAGGCAGGAAATGCCATGAGACCCTTATCTCCAATTAACCAGCAAAATGCCAGACTACAGACCACATGGGCGGGGGGGGGGGATGATTGCATCATGGTTTCTTAACTTTTAATCTCCAAACAGCATGTTTTTTAAAAATGACAACAGACCATTAATACCACCTCACAGCACTCAACACACAGGGCATGAGTATGCCTAGGCCTTGAGCCCCACATCCCTGTAAAGGTGGCCTAAATGGTTCTGCTTTGCAGATAAGATTCCAGACCCCGGGTCTGGAAAGGTGGCTCAGTGCTAGAGCGCTTGTCTTGCATGCCTGAGGCCCTGGGTTCAATTCCCCGGCACTACATAAGCAAAAAGAAAAAAGCTGGAAGTGGTGCTGTGGCTCAAGTGGTAGAGTGCTAGCCTTGAGCTGAAGAGCTGAGGGACAGCGCCCAGGCCCAGAGTTCAGGCCTCACGACCGGACCCCCCCCCCAAAAAAAAAAGATTCCAGACCCCATAACACTTACAAAGTTTGAACCATCTGGAAAACATACCCGGTGCTCGTCTTTGAGTTCGTGGTTAGCGTAGGGGATGACAGCCTCCGGACACCTGTCTAGCAGGGTGTCCAGGCACTGTTCATACTCTTTCAGGCGCGTGTGACATAGAATGTGGATACTGAGGCCAGCAGTACTGTCTTCCAAGAGTGGCTCCAAGAATGGAACAATGGAAGCTATGTCAAATGAAGGACCACATATAAGAGACTATGAACAGAAAAGCAAAAGGTTATGGGATGAGGTATCAGAAAGTAAAAGCACCAACACAGCATGGTTTTGTAAGAAACTAAACCTTATTTGCAAAACAAAAAAAAGGTGATGTAATTTTAGAGCCTTATGCATATGGTCCTTACTTAATAAGTCTAAGAGGACAGAAGAATTAAATAATTTTGATTTGCCTCCTTGATGTTTAATAGAAAAGTCATTTAAAAACACTATCATTTAATTTACTTTAGACAGACTACAAATTAAAAGGAATGTGTTTCTTTATGAGTCTAAGGTGTAATCAACTCATGGTCAAAGATGCATATGCATTGGTATTCAGTACTGAAAATCCTAAGAGATCCAATGTTCAACAGTAAGGAGCGAGTGAGTTAAACAACAGAGGTAACATTGTGTTATTAGAGTTCTATTGTCAAAGACTCTCTAAGGAGAAAACACTCAGGATAAAATGCTGAGTAAAAAAAATCTTCATAGGAGATTCTACTCAGAGATGCCCCGGTTTTGTAAAACCCGATCAGACCCAGGCCCAGTCAGGCTCACAGAGAGCCCTCTGGAAGAGCCATGGCACTGGAAACAGACTTCCTAGGATGGAAAAACAGGCCTGGTTTTCCTTTCACACTGTCCTGTGTTTCCACCTACTGTGTATATAACTCCAAATAAAATTCAACATTCTGAAAGCCAGTGATTGTTCAGAGCTTGGCTAATCAATGCAGCTGGCCAGAAGTATTATTTCAGAGCTTTACCAGTATTGCACTTTATTTTATTTTTTTGCCAGTCCTAGGGCTTGAACTTAGGGCCTGGGCACTGTCCCTGAGCTTCTTTTGCTCAAGGCTAGCGCTTTACCACCTGAGCCAAGCACCACTTCTGGCTTTTTCTGTGTATGTGGTACTGAGGAATCAAACCCAGGGCTTCATGCGTGCTAGGCAAGCACTCTACCACTGAGCCACCTTCCCAGCCAAAAGTACTGTACTTTTTTTAAAGCAACTTTACCAGTGTTTAAATTTTAAAGCATATCTAATATCAATTGCACCATCAAAACAATCTCCATGCTTCCTCGCTCCTGTAAAAGAGTCAAGTGACTTCTTTATTTCTTTTGCTCAGCCTCGTCTCAGACTTACAGCAGGACAAGAAACATTAATTACTCATTCTTGGCCAGTGTAATCATTTTATTCCAAACATCCACCAAGGAGTGGCTGGGAAAATAAGGTTGGTATCTTTCTTCCTGCACGTTTTATACATTGACAACAATGTGTCAAAGATGAAGTAAGGTGATAACCTCCCTACATGGAAAGCCAGCTATAAAGAACTATAGTGAGGAAATCTGCCTACATGGAAGGCCATCTATAAAGAGCTATAGTGAGGAAAAGGACTCAGGAAAGTTCAGTCAGATAACATGCTTGAAAGCTAGGAGCCACAGAACAATGCAATTTGAAACTGGTTTTAAAACATCACTGAGTTACACTTTTCAAGCAGTAAGTGAAATAGGCCTTGATGTCTTCTGAGGGAACTCTACTGACAAGCACCCCAATGACGTTAAGTGTGCCAGTTAGTTCTGTGTGTAGATGACACCCTGCCCACCAGCAGTTCCACACAGAGGCAGAGGCTTCCTCCAAAGTCCCTGAGTGCGCCTCATGTTAGATTTAGACCCCCAAATGCAATGTTCTAAATTAATAGGGCATTTGATGTCTCACCAAAGCAAAAATAATACATCTTACTGTGCATGTTCAAAAGAAAAAGAGACATTTCTATTTACCTGTAATTTTGAAAGGTCTTCTCTGTAATTTTTATCAGCTAAGGAATCTGGTGATAAGACATGAACCCATGGATAGATTAAACCATAATGACTACAGGCATTTATCTGAAACATAAAATAAATTTGTCATTAAAAAAAATAGACCACCACCAACCCCTCCCTCCCCAACAAAACCCTCTTCATTCAAAGAAAGGTAGTCATCAATGCCATCACCCATATCATACCTGTGTAGGCTGTATTGGGTGGGAAGCCTTCAGAATGTTCTTCCGCCTGTTGCTTCTATACTACATAATCTATACGCAACATTTCCTTATATTCTAAACTTTTTAAAATATGCTACAGAGCAAAAGTAAGCAATATCACTTTTGCAATTATACTAAAAAAGAGCTAACAGTAATATTAGAAGTAATTTTTATTTATGCTACTTTATTTGGGAGGTAATGTTTCTTCCACAAACTCACTATGAGTGACAAGGAACCCCAGGAGCTTAGACAAAAAAGAAACCCTTTTCCAATGTGAGCAATTGCCATCACAAGCTCCTGCTTGTCTGGCTGGTCCTCTACCTCAAGTCATGCCTGCAGCCATACTTTTTGCTAGTTACTCTGGAGATGAACCCATGGACTTTTCTGCCCAAATGGAAGTGCCATCATCCAGATCTGAGCCTCCTGAGTACCTAGGATTACACCTGTGAGCTAGCAAGACCAAGCTCCTTCATGGACAAGTCACTTGTAATGCACTTTTAACTCTAGCTTAAATATCTAGTGATAAGAAATGAGACTTAACTATGAGTAATTAAAAATATGAAGGCCTTAAAAAAAGGAAGGTAGATTGTTTTATGTGCCTTGCCTGGGCCTCCCTGAATGCCCAGTTCCATTATCTCACCAGATCCTCTGATGTGCGAAGTGGTGTGGTGTCAGGAAGCTGCCTCTTAGATAATCTCCAGATGTACTGTGATGTGAGCTTGAAGCAGAGTTCCTGAAGAACCACATCTGGGAGACAGGACACAAGCTGAGCTTCCCAGAAGTCTACCAGGAGCTGAGGAGTCGAATCTTCACCCTTACCACAGAGCACCTTGAGCACAGAGAAACAAGCCAGTCTCAGATACAATAGCACACCATGATATAGGCCACGTGGTGAGTTAATTCCTACCCCTGGTTTCAGTGCCAAGGCTAAGAACAGTTAGGCATTGTTAATAAGAAGTCAATTCAAGGTTGCAAGGATGGAGCTTCTCCAGAAATACTTTTGATACATGCTTTTATGTGACAGACCAATTATGTGTAAGTCTGTTTTTCAATAAACAGATGAGAAACTCTTCTTTTGCTCTTCTCCCTCTTTCACTCAGTTCATTAAATTACAAACCTTAAAGAAAGAATCTGCTTCTTCAATTCCAATTTTGTTGTTCTTCTGCAAGCCCAGGACGGACGCCACCAGCAGTCCAGGCTGGGTCTCCTTTAAGTGAACTGCAAACTGGGTAGGGACAATCTGCCCCTTCCTCTGTTGAATCAGCAGCCGAGGTTCCAGAATGAAGCCACACACCAACTGCATCTGCAGAAGACAAAGAAAATAAGGAGGATCTTCCTGATGACTCAAACACAATTTTTTTCTTTAACTACAAAGATTAGTTCCTATACCAAGAAGGATATCATTAACTGCCTTATGTAAATCATTAGAACTTATCTCAACATCAGGATGTTCTATATCTATAAGGAGGTTTTATTTAGGGCTTTAAGACTATATCTTAAGCTTTTCAAAATTATGGAAAGAAGCATCATGTTTTAGAGTTCCATTTTCAGAATAGACAGCCTGATATTGGCTTGCTCACCCTACTAGAATAGCTCACTGGTGAGTGGTAAAGAATGTCTTCTTGTTTTAGAAAGCAAAGTCATAGTGAAGCACTGGTGGCTTATACCTGTAATCCTGACTACTCAGAAAGCTGAGATCTGAGGATTGCAGTTCTAAGCTAGTCTGGTAAGAAGGTCCCTGAGACTCTTATCTCCAATTAACCACTAGAAAATTGGAAATACAGCTGTGGCTCAAAGTAGTAGAGCACTAGCTTTGAGCAAAAAAAGCTTAGGGACAGTGTACAGGCTTTGAGGACAGTGTACAGGCTTTGAGTTCAAGGAGGGAGAGGGGGAGGAAGGGAAAAGAAGGAGAGGGAGAGAGAGGGAGAAAGATGAGGGAGGGAGGGAGAGAGGGGGGGAGAGGAGAAAGATGGGCCTGTAATCCTTGGAAGCACATGGGCTCTGGAGCTGACTGGTACAACTCTACCTCATCCACTGGCCACCTGTGTTATCGTAAGCAAGTGATTTGCCTCTCTGTCTTGTTGTCTTCTCTGTAGCTTCATGCATGAAAGCTATTTGGGAAGCTGAGGTCTGAGGAACAAGGTTCAAAACCAGCAAAAAGACTTGTTATCTCCAACTAACCACAAAAAAATGGAGCTGTGGCTCAAGTGGTAGAGTACTTGCCTTGAGCAGGAAAACAAAATCTCAGGGACAGTACCTAGGACAAGAGACCCATTCACCCCATACTCCCTCTACACTCCAACTATTTTACAATATTATTTAGCTTTTTGTTAAATATTTAAATATTGTTTAAATACTGCCTCCCCCTTTTTTGGTCGTGGGGCTTGAAATCTGGGCCTGGGTGCTCTCCCTGAGCTCTTCAGCTCAAGGCTAGCACTCTACCACTTGAGCCACAGCACCTCTTCCTGTTTAAAAACTAAACAAGCTAACATAATCAAGGGTGCAGGACAGGCCCTGGACATGACAGGAGGTACAACATAACCTTTAGCCCCTTTTCCCTTAAATGACTAATGCCTTGGGCTCACATCCCTAAATGGCCTCTCCACCAAGAGACACGGCCTTCCTCCTTAAGTCCCACCATCTGAAGTCCAGCCCTCCTGACAGTCCAGCACCTGTAACTTTCCAAGTGGAGAAGGTTTTTACAGGTGCTTGGGTTCTAAGCCCCATAGTTAATGTCCTCTGTGCTGTACTTAAACGGACACCACTCTGCTGTTCTCAGTGACCACACCATCTTTCTCAGGCCAGGTCAGACTATCCGTTCCAGGCAGAGCCCAGAGTACCCTTCACGCAGGCATAGTGCTCCAAATGCTACTAAGACAGCCAGAGGAATATCTGCTGCTGCTATTTCTCTTGTATTTTTCAGACCTAAATTCCTACTTGGATCATTTCCTTAGATCTGCTTTCCATTACAACGAAGAAAATGTAAGTTAGCTGCAGGCATGCAATCCTAGCTATTAAGATGGCTGAAATCTGAGGAACAAGGTTCAAAGGCAGCCTGGGCAGGAAAGACTCTTTAGCTCCAATTAACCACCAAAAAGTTGTGGCTCAAGTGGAAGAGTGCTAGCCTTGAGCAGAAAAAATCCCTCAGAGACAGCAGCTAGGCCACACCCACACAGCACTCCCTCTGCCTAGGCAGGGCACTGTACCTCTGTATGGCTTTGCATCTCCTTTCTGTACAAGTCAAGATCTCCTAGTTTCAGAGCCACTGCTGCCCTGGTCAGGGTGACTAAGACGGAGGAGAACCCACAGGTGTCCAGGCCCCTCAGGCAGCTCCAGGCAAGTGAGGGGTCAATGTTCTTCATGGAAGGGCTACAGAGAATATGAGGCAGTTGCTTCGGCTCAGCCACTCGAAACATCTCAGCCACTCTTGCTGCTAATTCCTTTGAGGACACCAACCAAGAATGAGAGGTCAGGCCGCCGGCAGAAAGCAACAAAAGCAGCAAAAACACCTATAATTTAAAATCCACCTAAAGAAGTAATTTGGACGAGGTGATCTCATTTCTCCCAAAACATCAAAGCAATGGGTACTGCAATTTCCAGAGACCTTTAAAGGATAAGAGAGGCCAAACACAAGCCTTAATGCCTTGAGGCCACCAGGCCAGGTTCTGGGAAAGAGTGCTGCCTGGACTGGAGGCTGGACAGTTAAGGCTGCAGGCAGCACAAGACACAGGAAAGCAAAGCCACATGCTGCATCACAAAGGCCTCTAAGTTCTTTAAACTATCATCATTAAAGGCATGTGATTTTTTTTTCTCTTTTAGGAAAAGGAGGAAGGATATTAATAATTTGCCACCTAAATATTATTACATAAATTACTAAAATGGAAAGTTAACAATATTAGCTATAAACAAACAATGAAAAGTATACGCACTCCACTTAATTCTTCATCCAGGTTTTCATAAAGCGAGTGATTAATATAAAAGATTAATCCCCTCTCATATTTCTGTGATTCATCTTCGGCCCAGTCCACACGGGCCAGGACTTCAGCCAGGGACAAACTGGACATCTTGTAGTATGGCAGGGCCAGGTGGGCATGCTGGGTAGCAAGCCTTACAGGAAAAAAAATACAAAAGCCTCCAATTAGCAAGTTTTGAGGCTGTTCCTAACACATCCAGTAAAAAACAAATCATGCCTTACAAAATCAGAACATACCAAAACCATCTCCTGCCATTAGTAACTGGAACAAACTACTAAGTACTATTTTACTGTCATTCTAATTAATGCAGTTTCCCCTAAATAAAAATGGAAAAGCAATCAATTAACTAAGTGAATTTTAATATTCATGAGGTACCTCTAAAATAATGGAGTTTATTGGTAAGAAAAGTGTGTTTCATTAAGTTGTAACCAATCCCATAGTCCATATAAACCTCTGAAAAAACTAAATAGAAAAATGTGCAAATTGTTCACATGTGAAATAAAAACTGCTGCTTGTCCTTGGGTGCCTGGTGCCATCAAAGCACCAGTGACACTCTGTAGCTGATTCCTCTAAGCTCATGGTGAACAGAGCAGGCTTGTCTCTCAGGGAGCTTCACTGCACGCCATCCCATAGCCACAAAGAGCAGGAATTCCTAAGTAGGTACAAAGTCATGAGTTGGAGACTCTACTGCTTGTCTGACAAACTGCTCCTCTTCTAAGACAGGGCACAGCCAGTGGTCTTGGCATAGGCCTAGCACAGCACCTGGTACTCTGCCTGGATTCAACAGGTGCTTGAGAAACGAGAGGACTGTGAACCAGCCCCCCTCACATCCCCTCGTGTCCCCTCACTGACCCAGTAACTACTAGGGAAGAAAGAGGGAGGGAGTGCATGCAGCCCGGGGGGAAGGCTGGGGTCTGAGGGCCTGGGGATACCACAGACCTGCTGTAGCAGTCCCCAAGGTGCCCACAGCTCTCCTTAAACGCTTCCACGAGCTCTGCTCTCTCGCCGGGCTCCAGCTGCTGCGTGTCCATGAGGGCGGCTCTGATAAGCAGGTGAGCCTCGCTGAGGAGGTGGATGCAGCTCTGCGTCCTCACAGTCTTGTAGGTGTTACTGTAGTCCACCTGGAGTGGGGATGACCAACAGATCATGTGGCTGCCCAGTTCTGTCCTTAATCCAAGTTGGGCTTACAAGATAATGCCTAAGCATGTTAAATACTAAAAGTAAAAAAGAAAAAAGCATTTATTAGAGCCTTAGCTGGGTAGTGTTTTACTCCAAAACCTATGGACCAGTTAAATCTATACATGATGATAATAGTACCTTGTTAAACAGCTTTAAGTGTCAGGGAAGAAGGCCCAATTTATACTATAATGTTAATAATAGTAATGATTTGATCCCAATTTGGTGAGGCTAATGAATATGCTATACTGATGGTATTAACTTCTGTAAGGAAGTTCTGGGATGTGAGGGTTTCTGGAGCTGAGACTGGGTACCACCTATTTTCAACTGGTGGTTTAGGTTGTTCTACTACATCCATTTCTGAAGCCCCAAGGGCTAGCCTGAAGCCATCAGTGTATTCACACGTCAGTGGGCAGCTCAGCCAGATGGTACCTCAGACCGCAGTTAAGCATGAAGAGAGCGATGGGACGAGCTTAAGGGACTGTCAGAGTTAAGATGCCAGGACCAGACAGGCAACATTTAAAGCAGATTCTGCTGGGGTTCAAAGTCAAGGACTATTGAAGTTGGCCCGCTCTTGGACGCTGGTAGAAGAGTGTGTATGAATAAGGGCAGACATCTCAGTTTCAGTGACTTCTCAAATGTCGGAAGCAGTGAACATGCAGAGGTGATGTAAGAATTCATGCTCCACAGTGAGATGGCTCTGGGGTGGGCGTGGCCTCCTAAGCTGGTGATAATATAGTCAGTTTCTCCTCATCAATTCCACTGTCCATTTCTACAAGGGGAGAAGGTGGAGGAAGTACCATTTCCTTGTAGAGCTGCACTGGTGGGACTGTATCCACGATATAGACATTCCACCCAGGCCCGGCTCCAGGAGGCCTCATCTGAACACTGGCATTTTTCCTAGAACTAAAAGCAAAACAAAAGACTGAGAATTTTAAGGCAAGAAACATTATTCATACATTGCAGTTCTGAGTGGTAAACATTGGGTACTAGAAGATAATACAACTCCGAAAGCACAGGACGTATCTCCAGTGAGTGGCTGCAGAGTTGATTACTTCACAGTACTCTATAGGCCTACAGCATTTACTGTTCTATCACATATTGGTAGTTCAATGCTTCTGATTCACTTTATAAGCATTCTCAGAGGGGCTGTCAGCTCCAAACAGGTACGTTTCTCAGCTCTGAAAGTGCCTGAGTGCAGACCTTCTCCAGCAAAGGTGATCTTAGCTCAGCAGGCTCTGCACCACACATGTGAACAGAAAGAGCTTGCTCAGATACACCAGGAAAAATCTGCAGGACCACATGAGCCTTTAATCTGCGTAAGGCAGTGTCTTATCTCTTCCCCCTCCCCCCTATTCTCCTAACAGTATAAGAACTTTCAAATTTTTTGATCAAATGAATTCTGTGTACACATTTTTTGACTAGTGACTGTCTAGAAACAATGCACATAAACAACTCAAAAGCAAACACTTAGGCTCTAATTCCAGCACCCAGGAGGCTTTTTCTGTGTATGTGGTACTGAGAAATCAAACCCAGGGCTTCATGCATGCTAGGCAAGCACTCTACCACTAAACCACATTCCCGGCCCGTGAAACTATTTTGCAATTTGTTTTTTTCTAAAAGACCCATGGTGGATGGTTAAACATTATTATAGAGATCTTTAGACCCTTCTGTACCTTCTCTGGAAAATGAATGAAAAAATCATTGAAAAAAATCATCAAAAAAGAATGGAAAAAATCATCTGATCATTCCACATTTTGATTTAAAAATGGTAAGGTAAGATAAATACAAAATATGCCAGCTATACTTCATTCCGGAAGCAGGCAGGCGTGTGTAGGGCATGGGGTACTTACGGAGTCCTTTTGGGTGACTCTCTTCTCTCCTCAGTGGCCTCAGGATCTGCCTTGGTCAGAAGTATGATGTGGTTTTTAAAGTGACAGATGGCTTTCAAACCAATGAAGAGCTGTATTCTTAAAGCACAGACATCCATACTCACAGGCGGGCAAGCCTGAGGAGGGGAAATCACAAGAGCTTTCAGCTGACCAAATCACCCCCCCCCCACACCAAATCCACATTGCTATTCTTAAGAGAGTGGAGTTATCAAAACTTACATAGTTAACCATATGTCAGTCAGTCAGTCAGTCAATCAACCAACCACCTCAGTACTTGTACAGTGAGAAAACATAAGTGTGGGAACTGGGCAGAGTGAGCTCTGTGGACCCCTCAGGAAAAGCAGTCCTGGAGGGTTCCCCTGTGCCCAGCAAAATCCCCTCTCACGAAGGCTGGCTGGGGGCAGTCGGAGGTTCTCAGCAAAGCGAGCCACAATGACAGGACATTCTAAGGCACGCAAAGTGCTAACCACTTCCTTGTGGATGGGCGTGTGTTCCGATAGCCCTGGGTGTGACTGAAACCTGGGCTGCTAACGGGCAGGTGTGCCAGGGCACGAGGAACCAGGCTGCTATCCTGTGCATATGACCCTCAGCTCCAGGAGGGAGGGTACGGATCAGGGCAGAAGGGGGAGGGCTGCAACCGAGCTCACAAAATGATACGGGCATTAACTGTCCTCTCCCTGAGGCCCTCTCCATCAGCCCTCTCATCCAAGTGGCTGCCAAAACCATCTTAAAACCTTCCTATCTTAAAATAGCTAAGGAGGCCTTGATCTGGTGGAGACGCAGGGCCTCAAGGGAAAGGGAAGATGTTGCAGCAGGTGCTCTGGCTCATGCTCAGGCTGTGAAATGTTTTTGGACACCATGGCTCTCAGGTCTGGTTCAGCAGGTGAACTGCTGACTGTACACACAGCCAGCCATCTACCCTTCCAGCGAGAGGGCGGGGATGCAGGGAGAGGAGCCAAGTGGGAGGAGGGCCCTTCCTTCTCTCTCTGTGCAGGCCTCAGCATGGCATCTCCCCACCAGCTGCCACTGCTCCTCTTTCCCCCTTCTCCTTCCTTCTCAATGGTTTTAAGGGACTCTAGGAGGATATGGTATGATGACTTTTTCAGTCCAGTGGGTGCCCTGACTCTTATTTTAAAATTAAGGGCAAGACCAGAAGGATAAAGAATGCTGCATTTTCATTTTCACCAGGGAGATAAACCTGATTTGTAAAGTCAGCTCTCACTGGAAAGACTGAGTGCCTATCTTATAATGAGAAAGGCACAGGAAACATGTGACTCTGGTCGCACCCTGGGGCAGCCACACAAAGCCAGGACAGCTATAGCAACGCAGGGCTCTGAGGATGGAGACCACACTCTCAATACCACAAACCACAACCGTACTGTGCTAAGACTGCTCAGGCTGGTTTAACCATCATCACCAACACTTATTTTTCTAGAAAAGGCTTTCTAGGTGTACATAAACTAACTTTTGACAAACAGGCCATCATAATTGGGGGTTTCTCACTGCACGTACATTCATAACAAATATCCACTCAAATAGCTTGTACTTTAGAGGTGAAATAGCACAGATGAGTAACTATGAGTCTATTTTGGAGAACAGAAATACAAGGTCAGATGATAAAACTGCCTTCATTGATTTTGTGGTTGGTGCTTTCCTGAGAATAAGCATGGTGTGTCTCACTAAAAGTGCAGTTATTGATCTAGCATATCCATTAACTAGACTAAGTGTGGAAGACTGTTGTTGGAAGCTTGAAAAACAACAAAAGAATGATAGACATATTTGAGGATAGTATAAGTTATTTTAATACCTCTTGTGTGATATGGAGTATACTATATTTTGTTTATGCATATGCTGCTTTGTTAATACATACAACTGCCACAAATATCTGTGAGGAAATTTTGTACTATAATATAAACTGCCCTCCTTACACTGTACAAATTCCTCACCGAGCTTTAAAAAACTGAATTAAATTCTGAGTGAGATGTTTGCAAAGCAATCTTATGAATTGTGAACTCTACCACAAATCACAAATGCTTAGTATTTATGTCTGTATGAAAGACAACCAGCGGCCTCCCTTCCCGGCCTGGTCCCAGGCCAGCCTGCGTGTCACACTCCTGAGCCTGGGCCTCACTGTCACCAAAGCCAGTCCTCACCTTCAGGGTGGTGTCCATGTAGGGGTCATCCTCTCGGGCCACCGCTGCGCTGCACCGCACCGTGAAGCACTGCAGGTTGTTGCTGAGGAAGAGGAGAGAGGCACTGAGGGTGGAGGCTTAGGGCTAACTGCAGAGGGGGAGAGGAGGCTCTCCCAGCACACCACGACACATGGGGCAGAGGACATCCAGTTAAGGATGGAGGGGTTGAGACTGCTTCCCAGGAAGGAGGGGCCTGCAGACCCCCAGAGAGCTTTACATACCCATACCTGGCCCTCACTGCATTGCTAATGCACATGAACCTCACAGGGCATCCATCCTTATCATCCCTAGATGCCCAGAAACTCTCCCACCTATCCTCACACCTCTCTCCTGCCTCTGCCCTGCTTAGATGCAGTCCTGTAATCTGCCATCCAGAACTGGTCCAGGCGCATATTCACCAGCATCCATGGCCCTCCTCTGAGGTAACTGGCAAGCCGTGTTCCCAGCACTTTTCCACATTTCCACATCACTAGTTCTTCCTGGCACTTAGTCAGGAGTAGCTCTCTTCCTAACTGGGGATTCCAATACTCCCCCTGGGTTTAAAAAAAAGAAGTTGCTTTCTTGTGCAATCAATCAGGAATATGGAGTATTTCTGAAACACCAGACACTATCTTCGGTTACAGTCTGAGCCTGCACCTACCACATCTACTTCTCCTAACCTCCACCCACTGAAACTCTATGTAGCCTTCACACCCAGCTTCAAACACAGCCACCTGTCTGAAACTTGGCAGTTTCCTTCCCTAGGACACACTGCGTGTTGTGAGGTCTTCAGATCCTTTGCAGAATCTAATTTGTTTTCTGTGTCTCACACTGTTGCTTTAAAAAAGTAGCTGATACTGCGTATTCACAGTTACTTGGTCACAGGGCCCAAGGGCTTGAATATTATCTAGACTCAAAACAGTGGAAAGAGAAGCAAAAGTGCAGAGGTAAGAGGAAATGAGATCCAATTCCTGCTCAGAAAGCAGTTTTCTGCCAGCACACTAGGGCAAGACCATAAGAAGACATCCACTCCCACACAGCCGTAAGACCCGTCCAGCTACCCTGCCTGCCCCATTGCGGCTCATCAGGGCTACAGTCACATCCTTTTTCTGGTCTTATCGCAGTTCTAACCCACTATGAAATAACTCGATTCTGAAAGAACAGGATGGCAGTGAGAAGAGGAAGCCTAAAGAGTTCAGAGAGAGATGTCCGCACTGGGCCTGCAGCAATCTCCCACATGCAGAACCTCACATCTCCTTACAAAGGGTCCCCATCAGCCTAAGAAAGCATAGCAAAGCCACCACCGAGCCCACAGCACTGGACAGAGAAGCATAGCAAAGCCACCACTGAGCCCACAGCACTGGACAGAGGCCGGAGCCACCCGAAGACAGACATGAGCAGACAGGCAGCTCCTTAGTTTATGGTACTCTACGTTACGTTAGAGGGTGCTCCCATTACAGATGTAGGTAGCGGCTACAGAACCCACGGGGGAGTGACTAGGAGAGGCCAATGAGCTGAAACGATACCTTGTGATGACGTGCAGAAACTGTGGCGTGAGGACGGCCTGCCTGGCCGTCTCGGGATACTGGTAGACGGACATCAACTCCACAGACTTCACAACCATGTAGAGATAGCCGACATGAGGCAATGAGAAAAAACAGAAGAGACTCAGCAGCTCTTTTTCCTGAGACAGTTTCTCTCCGTCAGACGAAGGAGAACCTGCATTCAGAAGTGAGAGTGTGTGGTTTGAGTCTGTGACTAACATGTAAAGTCTTCCTCTGCCCGTCTACAATTAGCTCTCTAAGTCCTTCCCAGTGCTCTGGTGCCTTGCTACAACTATACTTCCTCACTGCTGGTTCCCAGTGCTCAGCATGACACACTCCGGACTAGACCCCCTTTCCTAAAAGAAACCAAGTTAGGGAAATGCTACATAGGACAAGTACTTATAGCTTCCCCTAGACATTGTCTAAGATATGAAGTGAGCTGGGACCAGTGATTTTCAGTCTTACTGCGTAGTAGATGCCCAGGACCCAAAACTACCAACTAAGTCAAACTCCCCAGCGTTGTTATTAAAAAAGTATTCAGGTAAACTCAGGGTGCCAGGGTTTCGGACCACTGCTTAAATCCAGTCCACGTTTTCCCACCTGGCTCAGCAGGTGGGTCAAAGTGGCTTCCTTCAATATCTAGCTAGAACCCTGGTATATCTCTAGTCCACTCCTACAGGGCTTCAATTTCATGTTCTAGGCCTGGGGATCATTACAAAGGGAAATGGCTTCACCTCTTAGTCACTGAGCCGCGCCTTGCAAGTGGTCACAGGTGCTAAGGAACTTGGCAAGGGAGACTTGGTTCCCACATGGGGGTCTTCCCGACAGCCATAGGTCTGCCTGCTCAGCACACGTACCTGTTTGGTAAACAGGCAGCAGCTGGAGTGAATGCAACCTGACATCATCAGATGAGACACAGAATGAAATATCAGGAGTGAAGCGTCTGTGGGTGTAAAAAGACAGAGGGAAGAATCTCATTTCCACATACTTTGAGCAGGTACAAAAACATAAAATGCCAGTGACCGAAGAGGGCTGGAATACCGATAGAGCAAGTGCTGGATGTACAGATACTCCGCTTTCTCCTCAGCCAGCCCCGTCGGCTCCAGGGTAATAGACATGCCAGACTGTCTGCTTTTCTCACCCAGCAGTTCCATGGGCTTTTGGCAGAAAACAAAATCATCTGATTCAAGCTGTGACGTTTCACTACTGGGTCCTTAAAAATAAAATTCAAGAGCTTAGTAACTTCAAGTACAACTATCTGCTTGAATGAAAACTAGAGAGGGTGCTGTCCAAGGTCTTCTAACTAAAATACAAGAATGATCGCCTTGCCCCAGCTGTACCATTACTTCTACTGCCAGATGTAAACAGACTGTCATGACGCAGAAAAAAATATGTGGAGCCAGATATAAACCCAATCTAGTAAGAATAACTAAGTCTAGCTAAGTACAAGGCTCCCATCTGTAATCCTAGTTAGGTGAGAGGCAGAAATCAGGAGGATTGCAGCTAGAAGCCAACCTGGGTAGAAACGTTTGCAAGACCTAGTCTCAACCCATAGCTGAGGTGGCCCATTCCTGTCATCTTAGCTAGGTGGGAGGCTAAAATTGGGAGGACTGGGCTCCACGACAGTCTAGGAAGGAACGCCGCCTCAACCAAAGGATGTGGGGTGAGCGTATGTGCGTGCCTTCCTAGCGAGGACAGAAAGCCTACAACAGGCGGAGAGCGGGCCAGCCGTGTCCTCATCTCAAAAATTAACCAGCATGAAAAAGGGTTTGAGGCGTACCTCAGCATGTACAGTAGTTGCCTAGCAAGCACAAGGCCCAAGTACAAACCCCAGCAAAAACTGACAAAAAACCCCTAAGTCTATAAATAATGTGGCACGGCACCATAAACTCCAGAGATGTTCCCAAAGGTGAAAGGTTCTTCTCTGCCTAAAACAAGCAAATAAATTCCATCATTTACCTTCTGCCTGGTTCACTGTATTGCTGGTGCTGTGTGGATGATGGTTGACTCTCTCTGCATTTTTAGGTCCTGACTCCAGTTTTAGGATTAGGACTTCTAAGTCTGACATGACAGCCACATATCCAAGACAAAAAGAGATTTCCACAGGGGTAATGCTGTTTATGTGTATCACTAGAGAACGTTCAAAGTCCAGCACTGAGAACTCCTCACTAACAACTTGATACTTGAGAGTAAATAAAACGAACTGATCTGTGCAGCCAACAAGGAGGTCTCCTTTCACAGGGCAACAGGAGATGCACAAGGGCACCTCAGACAGCGGGATTTCCACAATAGACATCTGGTCCCTGAAGGCCTCACTGAGTGGCGCCTCCACACTGTGGCCCACCATCCGGACACACACTCGGGAACTCTCACTTCTTTTTCTCCTCCAGTTTGCATATGCACGCACAAATGTGGCTCCGTTCTTCTCCTCAATCATTACCAAATAGTCTCCTGAAAAGGAAATAAGATTTGACTAGACTTTGTAGTCAAACACAACTGCTTCCTTTGCTGACCTGAGATGAAACACACGAACCACTGGCCCAAAGACTATGGGAAGCCAGCCAAACCCTAGGTGACAGCATCAGTACTGGAAACTTATGAGGCCCGAGGTTCGGAGATGCAATCTCTCACCATCTGGTGGCTCAGGAAAACCTGTTCATCATTCCTACACCAGAGGGAATTCACACACCATTCTCCACGTGAGTTCTAAGTGCATCCTGTGCCCTACAGGTACAGCTCCCAGACAGCTCTACTGACAAAAATGATCACCACCATTCATGTCTTACTGAGAGTTACACAAACTTAGTATAAATCAAGGCATTCACTCTTAAGTAGAAAATTACACTTGATATCCCACCAAATCACAACTTTGAAGCAGAGTGAAGTTACACATTTATTTATAAAACTAAACAAAACATAAGCCCAAGTCTCTGAACTGGATTATATGAGCGTTTTTGTTGCTTTGGTTTTTAGCTAAGAAAACAACATGTATTTGTGGCGAGAAATCAATAAATACAAATGAAAAGCATAATATTACCTCCCAGAAGCCTCATTTTAACAATAAGGCTGCCTAGGGTAATTTTCTCTCTCTAAACATGGATCATGAAACATGTGCCATGATTTAGTTAACAGTCCTCTAGTGAAATATGTGGAAGTACATTTAGGTTTTATTCCCTAACAAAAATTTCTGCACATGTGAGTACCAAGGGGGCTGCATTAATGGCACAGGTTCTCAATGCTGGGCAACAGTAGGTCCACGTTAATACGGATGACGAGGCTGCTGTCATCACTGGTATTCCAGCAGTGCTGTGAATGTGTCTGTGCCCTGCCTCTCCAGCACAAGGCTTCAGTCATCACTCCTGTCTTCACACACACACTCTCGTTTCCCTGATGACATTAACATTTCAAAACCATCCTTCAAAATTTCCACGTATCCAATGTTCCCAAATTTTGTAACAGAAGAAAAGCTGTCAGCTAATGAAAGGAAAAAGGTCTGGAGGTGTTTTTCTACTTCGGTGTGTGTGTAGGGGGGAGAGAGGGCCGTGGGGGGGGGGGGCGGGTGCACAGCATTTCCAGTAGATGGAAATACGTGAATTCTGTTTTTCAGTGTCTGTGAAACAACAGGCACTAACTTCCTAGGAGTAAAGGAAGGCAGAAGAGAAATGCCAAGAAGGGGAAGATGAGTGTTCTGGATATCAAGATAGCCAGGAGTCTGCCCATGTTTAGTTATGTCTATGGTTAAAAGTTCAACTGGGCCACATGACCCATGGTGTTAAAGCCTTCCTTCCCACATGACTTCTGAACTACTTTGGGGCAGCCAGCGGGGTTCTAAACCCGTTATCACAGTTCCTGTGCTGGTTCCCCTCAGCAGTGCACTCCTGACTCAGGTCAGCAGTGCACTTCTGGGGAAACAGTGGCGGCCCCGCCTCACTACAGAGAAGTTAGTTAACTGCTGCAGCCGAGCTGCGGTGGCCTGGGGCCGGGGGCTGAAGCCCAGCAGTGCCGTCAATGCTACCCCACAGGGAAGACAAGTCTCCTGCTGCCACTTCAGATTTTAAATAAATGTTCACTTGGAAGAAAGGGGCAAGTTAGGCAAATTCTCTCTCACAAGCTCAGCCCACCATCTGCAATGGACGGCTTTACTATTTGATGAAAAAAAATCTTGAAGGTGAAAACTGCTATGCCTAAAAAAGGGCAGCATGAGAAGAGTTACCATTCTAGAAAGTGGAAAAATGGGCAAGAACCAACGACTCACACCTGTAGTCCTAGCTGTTCGAGGCTGGAGTTCAAAGCCAGCCCAGATGGGCCAGACCCCAGGCCTCTCACGCCCGTTACCCAGCACAAAGCCGGCCGTGGGGCTGGGGAACAGGGCCTGAGCCCCAGTCCGCAGCGAGGAAGGGGAGAGGGGAGCGGGCCGTAAGGATCGGGCCCCTGGCCGGGGCGCGGTGGAAGGGCTGGGCGAGCTGGCGGGCGCGGCGGGCTCGAGTCGCTCGGGTCAGGCGTGTCCGGCCGCGCGGCGGTGAAGGTTCTGGCGACGGCTGGCGGCCTCCTCCCGAGGCAGTGCGGAGCCTCCCCCGACGGACGGACGGATACCGGCGCGGGTCCTCACGTCGCCACGTCCGGTAGCGACTAAGGACTCGACTTACCTTACAGCGAAGCGGAACGGGGTCGAAGGCCTGGTGACCCCGCACCGGCCGGAGGGGTCCCGGGGCGCGGGGCAGCCCGGCCCCCGAGGTCTGAGGACGGGGAGCGG